TATATATATATATATGCCAACGATCTTGTATGATAACTAATAAGAAAAAAACTTTGCTTTATTATATAAAGCTTTGCTTCCGTGGTAACTAATAAGGATAATATTGTTTGAGGAATTTTTTCTAACATAATTTAAAATATTATTTTTGAAGGAATAATTTAAAATATTTTAAAGCATCCAAAATAAATTTTTTTTTCTCAGATTCTATAAATTCAAAACTTTTTAAAAAAAGTCATAACCAAATGTACAAATCATCATCACATTGATGATATGCAGAATAACAAATGGAGGAAACTAATTCTACTTAAATTTTGCAGGAGAGTTTGACTTTTAATTGGAATGGAGTCTAATTTTGTTTTATTTTTTTCTTTTGTTTGTTTTATTTTTTATTTTTTAAATATCAAGAGGAGGGGAACACCCCAACACACTTGAATGACTGAATCTAAAGAAATCCTCTCTCTCTCTATGTTTGCAAAAAAAATATAAAAAATCCTCTCAGTTATTGAACACCTCACCTCGATCATTTTCATATATACATCGTCTAGTCCGTTCCTCGATTCTGCATGAACAAATTGAACTTGTCAATTCTTCAAAGTCCACTGTTTGCATTCATTAATAATATCACTGATCTTCTTAGTATCACTATTTGTCGATTCTGCATCGTCTATGGCTGGTTCAGGACCCTCTGTCCTAAGTAACAACGGATAATCTCTTCGTCTGAGGGCACGAGAAACTCCTTCTGAAGTTCAAGACCATAAGCTATTTTATATCACTATGTTAGTTTATAAAGATAAGCATTACTTATTTAATTCTCTAATTTTTATTTTGTATATGTAAAAGTCTAAAAGGTCATTTTAATTTCATAATACAAACACGATAGTTTAATTTTTTTAGTCAAATCTATTATCAACAATTTTATATATAACAGTTTTATATATAATAACTAGTTAAATAAAATGTGTTGCGCAACTAAATAAATATAATGTTCAATTTTAAAAAGAAAATTGTACAATTACATTATCAAAATAAATAAATAAACTACTATAATTATTTCACATACAATTGATAATTAAATTGTTCATTTGTTTATATTTTTACATATATTTATCATATTTTATTCTAACATGCAAAATATTCTTATAATATATTTAAGTTTATTTAAATTTGATTTTTTTGGTTTCCTCGAATATCTCAATTAGACATTGAAAAAGCAAACTCATATCAATATTTTCCTTTCTTGCCATACATGAAAGAAACAACATCTAACATTTAAAAGTAAGACAAATAGTCATGCTTGTAATATGAGTAATAATCACACCAATCATGCAAGAACGAATTCAACACGAATTTTGCTCACTCCATTCTAGTTCTACATGAAATTTTACAATATTTTTACACAACACAATCTTGTGATCAAAATTCACAAACAACATGCATTTTTAATTGCATATATATGTACATCAAATGGGTCACACAAGTTGAGTATTTATTTAATTTGGCTTATTGGAGTAGTTGATCAATCATTACGTACACCATGAATCACATGCAAGTCTATCTTTAATACACCGAATGTTCTTTTTTAATGTATTAAATGTTCATTTTTAACATATTGCATGTTATTTTTAATAATAATTAAAAATGAATTTTTAATACATTAAAAATGAATTTTCCATATATATAGGGGCCCTTTTTTTAATTTTGCCCCGGGTCTGGTTCTAACCACTATCTCTATGCTACCTCAGCTCCAAGATCGGTCTATTATTGAATTAGACTAAGAAGAAGAAGACTCGGGAGAAGGAGGAGGAGGAGGAGGAGGAGAAAGCTAAGGTATCACATGCTATGGCATGTCGTACGTGCATTTTCCTAAAATGTTCTCTCGTAAGCCGTTTGATTACAATACAGGCTATGTCGTTGTGCGTGCATGAACAAAGATGGAGTCTATACATGTGGACTAAATTGAGTAAAATCACTCTAAATTAGGGATTAACTTATTATTATATATACTGGTAGTAAATACACACCGTGTGTGATTATGGAATAATGTCCAATGAACAAATACGGGCTATATCGTTATGCATGCATGAAGAAAGATGGAGTATGTACATGTGGACTAAATTGAGTAAAATCACTATAGTCAAGAATGTACTAAATTAGGAATTAACTTATTATTATTTATACTGGTAGTAAATACACACTGTGTAATTATTGAATAATGTCCAATGAACAATAAAAAGTTAATGATAAATTTTTTTAGTATGGTAGTTCTTGAAGTATATGAATTGTGTAGTAGCACGTACACTTTGCAAAAGTAAGGTCCATCTCACAATGAACAACTATAACTTAATAAAATAATTAGAAAATTCAAAAATAAATTATGAAAATTAAAGAACTAAATCCAATCATTAAACTACTTAAAAGGAAAGGAATTCTTAGAAAATCAAGTGTGTGTCTAAAAGACAAATTAATTGTGAAACCTCTTATAAAGAGTTTGACATCTATATACCATTGCACTAGACTATAAAGTCTTGGGTGGCATCGACTATTCCTTTAGTATTTAACTACTGTAGCAAGATAGCAAACATTTTTATTAAAAACTTTCGTAGCAAACATCAAAGATTATAGGAGCGACAAACATAACTGTCAAGAATTAGCATAAAATGTCACAATATCAACTAAATTAAAGAGTAATTAATCAATGTATCATATGCTAGCAAATTAACAAAGGCAACACCACACTACATACCTCATCGGCAAAAAGCTTAATTATTCTTACCACCACCACCACGACGTTTTCTTTTCCCTAGGCCATTACTAGAACCAACTTGCATGCTTTCTTGAATGTCCATGTCGCCGCATAATTTAATTTGTTGCTGCATTCCAATGTTAGCTGTAGACCCAAAGCCGAGTTGACCTTGAAATTGTTGTTGCTGTTGTTACGTTAAAACAAAAACATTATTCATGAAATCAATATGAAAAAATTATTTTTTAAAAAAAATGATCACTGGCCCTAAGACTAAGCTAGGAAACTAAATAGTACATATTACATAATTCTACACATATATATAATGTCATGTTGTACTTAAGTTCGACTTCTTTTCCACTATAATAATATATAATCTATGCCATACCATGATATAAGCTACTAATAAAATATGCATGCAACAGCACAGTTGAATCAAGCTTAGCTTGTTTAATCTCTTCCATTCTACTATTTCTAATGACAATATATATATATATATATCTATATATAATATAGCAGAATCAAGGTAAAAAATTTTTCCCTCCATTTTGTGCATTTGAGAGTTATGGAATATCAAAGGTTTAGGAACTTAATAATCATCATAAGTCTTTATATATATATATATATATATATATATATATATATATATATATATATATATATATATATATGAAAGAGATTGTTGAGTTTATAAACACAAAGATGCAAGATAAAAAAAAATACGTACAAATTTATAAATTCATGTAATCATGAATTAATTTCTACGAGTATTGTATATCAATTTTGATTATATAATATGTACTAACTTTTTAATAGTTTGTAATTTTGATTAGTTTTTTAATAATTTATTTACAAAGAAAGTTAGGTAAAGTAAAATTAAGTAGGGAAATATTTTTTCCGCCTAACTGTGAATGCATATTAATAGATTTGTAAGATCATTATTTTTTTTTTGTGTAAACCACGAGGTGGTCCGGGTCTTTCTCTGTCCGTTTAACTTTGTAAGATCATTATTGCAAATGAGGTTAGCAATATGAATGCACTTTTTGTCATATATTGTCTTTAACATTTAAATATTACAATGTATAACTAAACTTACATTTTTAATAAAATTAATTCTACTATGTATCATATATAACATTACAACAATACTTATAAATTTTTATCCGTGCATCGCACGGGGCAAATACTAGTATATATATATATATATATATATATATATATATATATAGCTAAGTGTTTCAACTCCAAAACTGCAAATTAGAGGGTTGCTAAATATTCCATTTCAATCATGTCTTTGAATAGTAAAGTTGAAATTCACAAAATCAAAACTAACACTTGAAAGTGTAAAGACAGATTTTAAGAGACACTTCAATTTGTAATAGTGTGAAATGCAATAAACATACTGGGCACTTTCGATGAATTTCCCAAGGCTTATAGATTCTAGTATTGCCAAAATAAGGTTTTTGTTATCATCCAAACACTGCATAAAGCACAAATTAAATCAAGAAAAATATATGTTATAATAACTTCGTTCTAATTTTTATACGAATGTCATACCAAGAGATGAATTTTATGATTCAAATGTATAAGTACATATACACATACATCAACAAACTCAATAATGATTTTTTATACACAAACAACTTGGTTGTGCTCCCGGCCTCTCTAACTCCATGAAAAAGATGAAAAGATTAACACAAATCATTTTATGGATTTTTTTTGTTCCAATGAAACCAATTAAGATATAATATTGCACTAGCTAGCTTTAAACCGGTCCATTTCAAGATTTTAAAGAAAGAGATAAGAAGAAAATATAGTACATTTTCAATCTGGTCTGAAGTAGGAGGATTAAGGAGGAGTTGCAGAACAAAATTGAGATATTACAATTTAATAGAGTCAGTGCTTTCAAAAAAACTTCAACATATATTTAAGAGTCCAATTTTTTAAACCCTATTACATTGTATTGCCTTATAACAATTAAATAAATTACCAGGGAAACTATTTCAAATCAAACTCACACTCACACATCAGATCAATTTGGTAGAAATTATTACTACACCATATTTAAAAAAAAAAAATTATTTAACTAAAAAACAAAACCAACAAGAATATGCATACAACAACAATCTTTGTAGTTTGTATGCATACAAACAATATAATCTAATCGAAACTAACTAAGTAGATCGAACTAAATATATACACAGTGCTAAAAACTAGCCGAACTAACTAAATATGGTGCTAAATACATGGATAGATGTGTTTATTCCATGAAGTCTTGATTTGAACATCTATCATTGTCAGTAATGTAAAGGCTCCCCATTCCTACAGGGAAGGGCTCATTGGCAAAGGCATCATCAAACCCCATAGGATATAAATAGAAGGACGACGCCATTAATTCATTATCCTGCAGGTCAGGTAAGTAGGAGAATTGTGGAACCGCCTCATCGTGAATTACCATCCCTTGTTCAATCTGTGGCGGCGCAGCTGAGACCACCGGTGGCTGCTCTGCCGCCACCGGCTCCAAAACCGCCTGGGTTTTCGGTGCAGGCGAAGTTTTTGGCGAAGATTTTGACGGCAACTTCCCGGCGCCTTTCTCGTAGATCCGGCACAGAACCCAATCATCGAGCCTCATGTCGTTGGCATCTCCGGCTTGGGGTCTCGGGGATGGAGCCCCCTCCACCCGGTATTCGTGCATGATCCAATTCGTCTTATCACCCTTCGGAGGCCTCCCTTCATAGAACACCAAAGCCTTCCTATACCCCACCACCACCTTCTGTTTGTTCTTGATGGGTTTATCGGCACCCGTGGCTTTCCAAAACCCACTCCCAGCAGCCCGGTTCGGCCTCTGCCCATTCTTATACTTCCGGTCTCTTGGCGTGAAGAAATACCATTCTTTTTCTCCAATACTCGTGTACATCACTACATATATTATCGACACCAGTAATATAATATAATTAACCACAAAAACAATGATTCACTACATTATATCATATATTATCGACACCAGTAATATAATATAATTAACCACAAAAACAATGATCAAACCTAAACCTACTATACCTGAGAGCTCCCACGGGCTAAACTTGTAGAGGTTAACCTCGTGAATTTTGTTGGGAGGTAAAGGCTCGTTCAGGACCTTCAGTTGCAGGTAACAACGGATGAGCTCTTCGTCCAAGGGGCAAAACCGATACCCGGGAGGGAATTCAAAAAAGTCATTATTATTATTATCATGAACAACAATTTTGTTTTCGCCATGGACGATGGCAATGTCAGAGCTCGCCCCAACAACACTTTTGGTTTTTGGAGTGGGCACGTGAAACTTGCCCTCCATTGTTACAAGAAGAACAGGTTGTTTGAGGGAGCTAGGGTTAGTAGATCACAATTGAATTCCTCGGCTAGAATGAACTCTACCTCGCTTTTGCTTTTCAGGTTATCAAGAGTTCTACCTGAGCTTCAAGTCCAAGCTATTTTATATCACCGGTTTGTTTATAAAGATAATCATCTGGGGATATTATCTGGATTCTCGTTTATCTTTAATAACAGATTTTTATTTTTAAAACCCTAAATTGATTATCGCAAGGGGAACACCCTAAACCCTAATTAAATTAAATTTATTAATCATTATATTATTTACTTAATTATTTCTGTAATTTTTATTTTAATTTGTATCCTAGTCAATGTAAAAGTCTAAAAGGTCTAGGCTTAATGTACATCTTCTCCGATATGCTAATAAAAAATAAAAAATAAAAATAAATAACATTCATATATATATATATATATATATATATATATATATATATATATATATATATATATATATATATATATATATATAATTGCATAATATAAACACGATAGTTTTCTAAGTCAAATATATTATATCAACAGTTATATATATATATATATATATATATATATATATATATATATATATATATAAAAATAATATAATATAATTAGTTAAATGAAATGTGTTGTGCAACTAAATAAATAATGCTTGTCCAATTAATGAACATATAATTACAACTTTACACTACACCTCAGGTGTAGTAGTGAATAGTTGAAACAAATAAGAATACATTACATCTTTATTTTAAAAGTGTAGTGGAAAATAGTTTTGTTTAAAAAATAAATAAATTAAAATAAGAATACATTACACCTTTATTTTAAAGGTGTAGTGGAAAGTAGTTTCGTTTAAAAAATAAATAAATTAAAAAGCTTTCCGCAACACCTCTGGGAGAGGATGTCGTGAAAAATTAAATAATAAAAAACTTTACAATTGATAATAAGTACAACTACATTATTATCAAAATAAATAAACTACTATAGTTTCACATACAATAATTGATAATTAAATTTTTTATTTGTTTATATTTTTACATACATTTATCATATTTTATTCATACAAAATATTTGTATAATATATTAATTAATATTAATTAAGTAATTGAATATAATTATAATAAAAAGAATAGTCTTCAAGATTAGGACTTGTATTCTGATTCAATCATGTGTACAAAATTACAATAATGGCAATAAATATAACAACTAGAACTACGTTCATCATGCTTGGTTTGCCCAGGTAATCAGCCACTACGACTGCAACTGTCCAAGGATATGAGGTAAACCGCCCTAGCACGAGAAGATGAAGCCAAGGAGCTGAGGTAAACCGCCCTAGCACGAGAAGATGAAGCCAATGCCATATATCTCAATCGCATTCCAGACAGCCCTGGAGGTTCGTTTTCCCAAGAGGGAGGAGATGATCATCCCCCGCCCACATCACCATTCAATATTTCTTGGCCCACTATTGGCCAAACCACCTGGGCACTAGGCCCAATGTGGGTTGGATCACTTAGCCACGCTTCATAATTGGAAAAATGAGCACCGTGGAAATACATGCCGCTCAGCCAAAGAAAGATGATGGAGAGTTGCCCGAAATGGGCACTAAATACTTTTCGGGAGATCTCCTCCAAATCACTAGTATGGCTATCGAAATCGTGAGCATCAGCATGTAGGTTCCAGATCCAAGTGGTAGTATCGGGGCCTTTGGCTATTGTTCTTGAGAAATGGCCCGATTTGGCCCATTCCTCGAAAGATGTTTTTACGGGATCCCTATCTACCAAAATTTTTAGTCCTGTTGCACCCAAAGACCGTATGCATCGGAGGAGAAACTTCACCAGTGGGAGGAGCAAATGTGGACAGAGGACAGGGTATGGAACTATCAACATACCCCAACAAATTCTGGTTTGTGAGCAAACTCACAAAATGGGTGAGCCATCAGATAAAGAAGGCATAACTATTGTTAATGGCCACGGAGAAAACCTAGCAACTGAACTAGTATATTCTAATATTCTGATTCAATCATGTGTACACAATTACTATGGGAATAAGTATTGTAGAGTTATATAACAACTACAACTACTCTTTATAATAAGACTCCTAACACTCAGCATTCAGACTATCAAATATATAATTATTTGTAGTTACATAATAAATTTCTTCATTTTGTTAAAATTCAAAGAAATAAAAGATATTTTTTTTTTTGAGAATACATTATATTTATTTTTAACCACCACAAAATTAATTTGAGGTAAAAGTTTTACCCACTAACAATATAAAGAATAATGCAATATAAAAGTTTTACCCACTAACAATATAAAGAATAATGCAATATAGCCCGCATGGGCAGCTTAACTGGTCACATAGGTGAAATTTGGAAAGATCAAAGAATGACCAGGGATTGAGTCTCATCAACGGCAGTGTGAGAGTAAACTCTCAAAGTGATGGGGCTCCTTATGATTTACATATCTCAGCAAAAGGCAGAAACCTCTTTATAGGAGCGACAAACATAACTGTAAAGAATCAACATATAATAACGTCACAACATCAGCCATAGGGTAATCAATGTATCATATACTAGCAAATTAATTATTCGCACCTCATCGACCAAAAGCTTAATTATTCTTACCACCACCACCACCACGTTTTCTGAATTTGCAGGTTTCCTTCTCTATTTTGCACCTCAGATAAATATGTGAGGTTATGCTGGAGCATTTCTTGATACCTAACATTTGTATGTTATGAACACCTCTGAAGTTTCTTGATATATACCATACATTATATGAAAAAAATTATTATTTATAAATGATCACTGGCCCTAAGACTAGGAAACTATGGACGATACTACATGTAGTGTCTTTGAACAGTAAATTAAAGTTGACATTCGATCACAAAATAAAAAACTAACACTTCAAAGTGTAAAGACAAATTTTAAGAGACACTTCGTTCAATTTGTAATAGTGAAATAATACAATTAATTTAATGGGCACTTATGAATTTCCCAAGACTTATAATTGCCAAAATCAGTCTTTTGTTATCATCCAAACACTACATAAAAGCACAAATTAAGCAAGAGATGAATTTTATGAATCAAATGTATATATAGGTACATATACACATACATCTACAAACTTAATAATGATTTTTTTTATACATACAGTTGGAAATCTCGCTATTAAACAAGCCTGATCAGTAATTTGTAAAAAATGTTTGTGCTCCTCCTCTCTCCATGAAAAAGATGAAAAGATTAACACAAATCATTTCACTAAAAAAAACCCACCAAGAATATGCATACAACAACGATCTTTGTAGTTTGTATGCACACAAACAATATAATATAATCGAAACTAACTAGCTAGTAGATCGAACTAAATATATATAGTACGTGCTAATAACTAGCCAAACCAACTAAATATGGTTCTAAATACACAGATAGATGTGTTTATTCCATGATGAATTCTTGATTTGAATCATCATCATCATTGTCAGTAATGTGGAGGCTCCCCATATCTACAGGGAGGAAGGGCTCCAAAACCGGCTGGTCCGCCGCGCCTTTCTGGTAGATCCTGCACAGAACCCAATCATCCAACCTCATATCATTGTAAGAAACCCGGTATTCATGCATCATCCAGTTCGTCTTCATACCCGGAGGCTTCCCTTCATAGAACACCAAAGCTTTTCTATAACCCACCACCACCTCCTCTTCGTTCTTGATAGGTTTATCATCGGCACCCGTGGCTATCCAAACCCCACTCCCAGCAGCCCGGTTCGCCCTTTGCCCATTCAGATACTTCCAGTCTCTCGGCATGAAAAAATACCATTCTTTTTCTTTTTCTTTTTCTCCAACACCCTCAAACATCACTACATTATATCATATATATATAATTAAAACACAAAAACAACACTATATATATATATATATATATATATATATATATATATATATATATATATATATATATATATATATATATATATATATATATATATGTAACCTACCTGAGAGCTCCCATGGGCTATATTTGTAGAGGTTAACCACATGAAGGTAACGGATGAGCTCTTCGTCTGAGGGACGAAACCAAAACTCCGTAGGAAAATTGAAAGACCCATTAGCAATGTTAGATCTCGACCCCCCAACCAAAATTTTGGGAGTAGAAGATAATGTGGCAAAGGGCACGAGAAACTCCTTCTCCATTGTTAGATAGAAGAAGGATCAGATTATTTGAGCGATGGAGGGTTAGTAGATCACAATTGAACTCTAGGTGGCTTTTGTTTTTCGGATTATCAAGAATTCTACTTGAACTTCAAGTCAATAAGCTATTTATATCATTATGGTTGTTTATAAAGATAAGCATCTTGTGATATTATTTGGATTCTGATTTATCTTAAGTAATAGATTGATATTTTTGAAACCCTAAATTGATCGCAAGGGGAACACCCAAAACCCTAACTTTAATTTATTAATTAATCATTATATTATTTACTTATATTTATTTCTGTAATTTTTATTTTGTATCCTAGTCAATGTAAAAGTCTAAAAGGTCTAGGTTTAATAATGTACATACATCTTCTCGGATATGCTAATAAAAAATAAATATAAATAACATTCATAATAATTATATTCTTAGTTTATATAAATCATTTTATTTTAATTTAATTTAATTGCATAATATAAACAGTTAAACACGATAGTTTTCTAAGTCAAATTTATTATCAACCGTTTTATATAATAACTAGTTAAATGAAATGTGTTACACAACTAAATAAATAATGCACAGTTTTAAAAAGAGAATATTGTACAACTATATACATTATCAAAATAAATAAATAAATAAATAAACTACTATAGTTTCACATACAATTGATAATAAATTTGTTCATTTGTTTATTTTTTACATATATTTATCATATTTTATTCTAACAAAATATTCGTATAATATATTAATTAAGTAATTGAATCATACCAAGACTATGTGGTCTAATGGTACTCGG